ATAACTGGGTGCTGAAGAATGTATATATATATATAGAATATATGTATGCACAAATTATATATGAATAATAAAATTTTAAAATAAAAAGTTGAACATCTTAATTGCCGTTATTGTGAACAGCGATGATTAAAATTAATATTATATATCTGTATATATTTTTTGTGTTAATTAAAAGATTTAACTACTCCCGGAGCACGGAATGAAAACGGGATATTAAGGATACTGCTCCTCAACTTCTTATGAGCTCCTTTCTGATTTGAAACATAATTTAAAAGCAATTTTGTTATAACTATATAATTAATCAATTAATTAAAATAAATACTATGTATAAATGGTGGACGCTATAGCCGAGTGGTTAGTGTTGTGTACTGCCATTCGGAAGGCCAGGGTTCGAATCCGGGTTATGCGTTGTGGTCTACAAAATTTCGTAATATGATTTTGAAATAGAATTTGGAGGTAGTTTTCATTATTCCATTAATTCTTACAATTGGTCCCAAATGCCACGAGAAGCAAGCTACCTCCGCCATACCTGACAGTTTGTTTCAATGATTTCATTAATAATTTTAAATCGGTTCTTGAAGTCTGCTTCAGAAGTATTATTTGCCATCTGATTGTAACTTGTTAATTTTTGTTTCATAGCAACATGTTTCCAATTCTCCGTCGTGCAGTTCTCATGCACTTAGCAGAATTTTAGACGCGGCTTGATGTTCTTATAGGAGGAATCTGATCTTTTCTTTTACTCTAACTAAACTAATAGGTGCAGCGCTCTACGATCGGTCCATTCATCGCTTTTGTATAGTAATCACGGTGCTTTGACTCAATTTGAATTTCCAAGCCGTTACTCTGGGCTACTCTCTAGCCACAAACCTATTTTCGGTGTCCTTGTTGATTTTCCTATTTTTTTTTTTAATTTTTAGTACTATCCTCATACCAAAAACTAAATATTCACCTCACTTGCCAAAATTAAAACCTCAGCATAAATGACAAGCCACCAGCCAAATACAACAGTAAATTTAGAGTTAATGTGGGACATATGGATAACTTTTATTTTACTTATTCCAAACCTGCGAAACTGAGTTTATTGAGTTGCATTATGTTTTTGTATTAAATTGTTATGATTATGTTTTTCTTATTGTAAAATTGCATACGTCATTGTCAAAGTTTATATAATACGATGTTACCACACAACTTCGTCATATGAACAGTCGACGGCACTAGACATTTATATAATAAAAATAAAAATTTTTTTCTTTAACAAATTTTATATATTTGTAAGTATGGGAAATATTTTCTTATACAGAAGAAAACACAAATCATACAATTTTTGTTTTTGCACTTACATACTCATGACGCCGCAGTCACAGATTTGACGATTTTTTTACTAAAAAAAGGTACATATTAAGCAAACTCCAAGCTACGGTGCGAGGCGTGGGCTGTTTTGATCAAACCATGGCTGAGGTGACCGAAGGCAACCAAAAGTGAATAAGAGTTTTTAACTGTTTTTGTAAGCAATACTTTATTCTTTCAGATATGTTATATAGCTAGATAACCCATGAATTCAAGTTTTCATCTTAAAAAAAAACTGTATTTAATTTATTAAATTTATACCGCTATTATGTCAGAACATGTTAATATAAATCACTCTCACAACTTTTTTTTTCAAATTTTCGTCCACAATAGCCCACTGCACACTTTTTCACCGCTTCGAATTTTTAAACACGATTTTTTCACAAAATAAGCATTATGTATTTCCCAAAAGCTTTTTAACAGACAAAGAAAATATCTAATAATCGATTTCTAATTCAAATTTATTTTAAATAACTGCCTTTTTCCTTACAATTTTGAAAAATTTTCTCGTTTTTGACATTATTTACTCATGGCATGCAGTTAGAGTTGCCAGCTATAGAAATTTTTGTTAAAAAAATCATATTTATGTACACAATTTGATTATTTTACAAAATATTTGAAAATTACAAGACATTTGTTCGGCATTAAACTATTCGGAACGTTTTAATTGTAATTGTTATTAAGCTAAAAAAAATATTATACAAGGTTTCAGGGGTCTAAAGCCAAAATGTTACGCAGTTTCATAGATAAAATATAAAACATATGATTTCCATCTTGTCGTAACCTTCTATTCTATTCTTGTGTTATTGTATTTCTAATACGAGTATGATAAGAAAAAACTTCTGAAAATTTCATAAAATTTCGTTAATTATTTATTATTTTATGACACTTTTAGTAAAAATATGCCAACATGCACACAGTTACGCTCGCCAGTATAGAAATAAATGCAAAATTAAATTATTTTCAAACAAATTAAAAACATTAAGAGTCGTCCTACTTATATACTTACTAAACATATATGTAAATATAAAGAAAGAACAAGCATAAAAAACAATAATAATGAGAGCCTGGAAAATCCATTCAAACAGCTCTTTCTAATAGCGGCTACAAAAGTTTTCTCTCGAGAAACTCAGACCAACCTCTTTAAGTAGTTCATGCCTCCCGCCGTACTTTAATGTGCAGAAACTTGCACAATGACTTCTAATGAATCGGCTATGGGAGACTTCGAGAAAAAGGTTTGGTGTAAAATTGATGGTCCTATGCCGACAAGAACGATGAGCTGTGTGAAATATCGTATGACGACTTTGAGATAGTTGAGTAAATTTATAAACGACGTCTACGCTGGCTGGGTCATGTGGTCTCTGTGGTGGGTGAAAATAGTCCTGCTCTGAAGTTTGTCACTGCAGCAACAGTGGTTCCGCTAAGAGTTTTTGGATATACATGGAGGAAGTTTTAAGCTTTTGAAGGTATTATCAAAACAATCAATGAAGTTTTCTCCAAAGTAAGTAAAATCACGGTCAACCGTCAGAGATGCTAAAACACTCAGATATGCATACAATGCAACTGTAGTTAAACAGTTGGAACATGGTTTTCTCTCATCGGCCAGCTTTACTTTCGCACCCATAATGTTATTTTGGATCGAGTATCAAATACTATTTCTCGCACTCATTATATTTGCGGGATCCTATGATTTGCTCACAACTAATTCATAAACACTTAAAATTACACCATATTTCGCATGCGCTGATTTAATCCATCAGTTGTATAGTCGATTAAAAGTAAAAGTTTGATCATTAAATGCTAATCATTTACAAATAACTAAAGGGTGTGAGCGAATTTGAAATAAGTCCAAACTACAGACGGTATTTAAAATAATTAAATTAGATATTTTCACGTTTAAATTTATACCCTTGCAAATAGTAGAGGAAGCAGTCTATTCGACCATGCGAAAACTAAGAGACTATTTGCATTGAAACATCCAGACATAACTCAAAGTTGATAGCAGATAAAACTTGCTTGCTTTACGACACATTTTTAACTTTGTCAGTGAAGAAAAAGCGCCAACTTTTTTCTCTTCAATTATTTTTTGTTCAATCAATCTGTTGTGCAAAGTGGGGCATAAGTGCAGAATACAGACCGTTAAGGTAGAACAAAATTAATTAATAGTCGTGATTCGCTCTGATTTCAGGATTTTAATGATATAAGTTTTTTTGGGGCAAATTTTTATTTTCGCTGGTATGGGGGAGGCAAAGGGGGAATTTCGATAATAATAAAACACTTTTTTTTTCAAATTGTACACCAAATTTTATAAATTTGTCTGTATTCTGCACTTGTTCCCAAAGTGGTGCAAAACTTCTATCTAACAACGCCTCAGTCTATATTGGTATAAATATCGAGTCTATCTGGTTGTACATATACCTTGAATGCAACTTATGAATAAAGTCATCGATAGTTTTGTTCAGTAAAATGATTTCAAGTTACTAGCAGACACGTACGCTCGTTGATGTATGCTTTCTTTAATTAATTATTATAATTGGTATATAGCATACGATGAGTGAAAAATACCTTGATGTTCTAATTGGGCTTTTATTTCAAAATAATAAATTTCTTATTATATAATATTATATTATTGATCTGCCTACATATTTGTTTGTAATTGTATCCACTGTTTCATGTTTGAGTATTACAGCCGTTCAGTTATTTTTTGCCCAACGTTTGCATCTCTGCATATCAGACATTGTAAGAGATTAGTTGCGTCTGCGTTACTCAAAGTCCTCCATGAAAATGTGATTATGATGATGAAGAAAGCTGGACGTCAATACATTGACACTCGAGCTTACTCTAAAACCAATTGCTTATCCAGTCATAGCCGTAGTAAACTCACATGGCGCAACGAACATTTGCACTCACATATGAATGTATGTACGTACGATCTAACATATGCTTGTACCCACATCACATTCGTACCTATCTTTCAGTGATACCCTATCCGTATTATATGTTAATCTAGGCAAAAATCTATCTACAAACTAACGATAAAGCAAATCAAAATTAGGTGTCAGGATTCATTACCGTAAAGTTTTCGATGTGTATATGTAAAGAAACACATAACCTCTAACAAAAATTCAGTCAACTTGCACCGTTCACGAGTATGTGTAAATTTTTTAAATAGATCGGAAGAAGTGGAATAGATTTTGAAATGAAAATAATCAAAAAAAATTGATCCATAAATAAATAATGGTCCCCTCCCCGTAAAAATTGACCCATTTTCAGCAAATTTTGCCCCGTATTTTATGTCGAATTTCGAATATTCGTATATCCGAATATAAACATATTAAGTAGTATAAGAATCTATCAACTGAATAGAGATACTTATTATCATTATTAAAAATGTATTAACTCATAACTTTTTCTTTTATTTTTATACGCAACCTTCATGCAAATTGGTCAAAAATCGTTTACCGCTATACTCTGTTTTTGCTGTTTTGACATTTGAAATATTCTGCAAATTGGATGGATGCAATTTTCGCGCCAAACACCTGCGAAATTCATAAAACTGCATTGCCCGTTTTCTTTCGATATATGTATATAACGGTACAAAATGTGACAAACAAATGAACACACTCAACATAAAACTAATGAACATCATACAGCACTCTTATCTGCAACTTTGCGAACTTATCAGAAAGCTGCTTGTGATACCGATCAGGTGGTGATATCTTGCCCGCGCGGCACGAGCATCTCAATCGAATTTGCGCAGTATAATAATTTCGAAAACAAAGGTAAGTGAAATATTTGATAAAAACACGCTTGCAATATATACACCAACGCATGCATTGAAATCTGGTTCGTTTTTTTTCCACTGCTGGTAGTTATTTCAGTGAGTGAGTTTTTACTTTGGAATCTTTGGACTACTTCTATTATTACTAATCTAGAATCTAAAGAAGTATATGTACTAAATCCATCACCGTTATTTAAATTTAGGTTTTTTGCTTTGTAGGTATACGAAAAGCATTCCTTTCTGTTTCTGCGAAATTCACTAGCGCTGTGAACAGCTTTAGGAACATTTACATAGTGCTCTGAGTGATTACTTTGTTGAGACCTTGATCTATTTTTACCTACGCGCATCTGTTCCTACCTTTTGTGAACAGAAGATAGCGAAAAAATTGTGCAATCATGCCCCACGGGGGACTTCCCAAGGGAATAATAGGTTACCATATTATCCCCTAGACCTCAATTAAAAAGAAATAAAAGAAAAAAATCAAATTCCAAAAGACGAACGAGTAATGGTAACCTACTAAAACTAACACAAGATAGCCCTAAGTATTTAGTCGTTAGTTCATTAGCAACAAATACATCATGCAGAAATTTCCTGGCTTCGCTTTTCATAAGGCCTTAACAGCAAATAGCTCAGAAATTATAAAAATAAGATAATTTAGATATAGAAACCTTTTGCTACTTGTCAAGAATAAAGTAATCGTAAAAAAATTTACACCAACAAATTGAATAGCATGCAAATCTCAACTCTTTTAAAGGAACCATTTATGCTCACTGCTTCAATGAAGCAAGCGTAGAAGATGTCATTAAAAATAAAAAAAACAGGGGTTTGCAGCCTAAAAAAATATCCAAAATATGTAATATCAGCGAACTCAAAACACTCGGTACTCCTTGCCAACAACATTAGCTCTCCACTATACAACATCGATTCCACTTATCACAAACAATATTTCTCCCCTCAACAATTCATCTCTGATCCCTCTATAACCTGATACTTCAAATAGATCATTCAAAAACTACCCAGACTTAAATATACTAATCAATCAATATTCACCTCACATAATGGCTTTGCAAGAAATTCACCTTCCAGTAAACAAAACAAAGAAATACCACTATGCACTTGTAACAACCCGTCTCTGTACACTGTGAAACCGATACCAAATTTTTTAACCGACAAAGCCAACTGGCCGAATTACTGCGCACTAATCTCTAATCTGTCAAACTCTAATGAAATTTTAAATAACATAAATGTGGAAGCAGCTAAAATAAAAAGTAGCAAACGCTCCCCCCGCTCATTTTTCCATGCCTTAGGCCAACACAAGAAAATTCAATTCCAAACTTTCGCATTGGTTAAATTTCCTAGAAACGCTAGGAATAACAAAAAAAACAATCACTCAGTGCGGCGTTTAATTAATTATTAATTTAATTAATTAAGCTTAAAAAGGCAAATGCACTCTTCAGAAGGGAACTAAAATCTGCTGAATGCCAATATTTCCAGAAGCTCACCGGAAACGTAAAAACCACTTCCAATCCCGAAAAAGTATGGCGTGACATGAAAATTATTTCTGCTACTTCTAAACATAATAAAAAAGATTTCGTTTACTCTTTCAAAGGACCGATAAATGATCCACAAGAGATTACAGAAAGTAATGCGTCAGCCTGGTAAAATATTTCTCAAACTCGAATTTCCATGCTAATTTCAGTACACTCTCATGACAAATAATCCCCGAAAATGATCAGAACCTTACTCCATATCTGGAAACTATTATTGTTGGGTCGCCGATAACAATAGAATAGTTCAACTCTATGGTTTGCAACATGACCATAGAAAGAGACAAAATCAGACAAAATATGTTACCAGCTCCACTCCCAAAAAACTAGGCTTATAACCCTATAGAATCTTAGTAAAGATCAAAGTTTTTGTCCCCAATACTGGAAAAGGTCCATAATCATCCTAATCCCCATTCATTAGTGCCATATTGCCAACAGTTCTTGAAGCGGCGGCATTACACGATGCAGTTCACTTCGTTGCAGAATCTGGAGAGAAACACATTATATGCACTGACAATAATTCGACAAAGAAGCAATCAAACCTACATATTCTGAGGAGGTTTTGTGCAACGAAATAAAATCTTTTATACGCTCCTTTACTATGCAACCCTATCATAACTGTAATGCACATACTAGGCGAATGTACTATTCTGAGCCAGCACAGGTCAACTATATTCGGTAACATGAAGCCATCAAGCCTTCTTAAAATAACAAGCCGCCATAACATCCGCAATCAATATCAACACATTTATTAAATCACTAGCTGTACTCTGCAACGCTTCGCAGTCGCATATGCAACCATCCACTTTCCGGAGAGCAGTGTAGTCTTCCTGTTAATCTAAGCAAGAAGCCACCTTCGTACCAAATTCCAAGTAAATTCAGACATAAATTATTTTTTTTTTTTGTTTTTGAATAAGTCAGGCCCTGGTCCACTTCCCGGAGAGAAGAAAGTCTTCCAGTTAATTTAAGCAAAAATACTCCTGAGTACCGAATACCGAGCAATCCGATAAATAAATAAATTCTATTTGAATAGGTAAGCCCCTGATCCACTTTTCGTAAACCCCTTCTTAGGTGTCATAAATGCAATCTGACGAAATTTCAAGCCATTCGGTCGATAAGTTTTGGAGAACACCCGATCCGGGGTCGAATAGGTCAGTCCCCGGTACATTTCCCGAAATTTTTTTGCTTCTGTAAACCTTTCCGGAAATCATAAACACAATCTGACGAAATTTCAAGTCAATTTTCGGAGATTTTCGGGAAATACTGGACTTTTACATACGGACATCACATTTTTATTTACGAATATAATATACGCAATATTTGAAGATAAGTATATATGTAGACATTAAATGCTGCAAATAAACATATTTCGTTAATTGTGGATCTCTATTTAATTGTAATTATTTTTCTTGCAAATAAATAAATTACTAGATAAAGAAATCATCACACTTATTCTGTTCATATTTATTTTTTTATACAAAACATAACCTAATATTATTATTTCAATAAATTTTGAATAAGTGTTAATATAATTTCTCCATTTTGATGTATCAAAGAATGTTATATTTACATATAAAGAATTATAGAAAAGCAATTCTGATTAAACGTTAAAATTACCGAATACTAAGCTTTCAAAAATCAATAGGGTACTACTAAAGTAAGCTCTTGCTAGGGCATGGCAGTAAACTGATATACACAAAGTTAAAAAATTTCTTGTATGCCATTAGATATGAGTGGAAAGAATGTTAACCACATTAACCCAAATTACCCATTTTCGGCATTAAATAAAAGAACTCATGAATTGCCCTGATTACGCAAATTTATTTTTATTTTGCAAATATTATATTAGGTGCAGTAAAAAGAAATCCATTATTTTTCCATTAGATGGCGTTATTTATCTGTATCTAGAATAAGTACGAACGGGTTTCGCTAGATGACGTTAGAAAGTTTTGACAGTTTTGTGATTAGTTGATTTAGTTTTGTTTGAGCGTTCGTCAAAGTTGGACACTAGCAAGAGGAAAACACGCTATATTTCACAGTTCTTCTTTGACAAGGGCGAAAACGCAAACCATACGGTTTAAAATGTGAATAGCGTTTTTGTTATGATACTGTTACTGTCAATCATGCGTATTTTCGGTTTCATTCCGGTAATTTTGATGTAAAAGATGCTTCACGAAGTGGAATGGCAATTTTCGAAAACGTCGATAAAATCACGGGCATCGTCAAGTCCGACCGTCATGTAAGCACTGGAACCATTTGAATAAGGCTGGATACGAGAAGTAAAAAATTAAAGCCTTTAATTTCATGCAAAAGTGATGGATTTCTTTTTACTACCCCCAATATATTTGTATTCGGCACATGCAACGAACTCTTATTAGTAAGAAAAATATGAAAGTGGTTTGCTTGTTATTTTCTTTTTTGGTACTCTACGTTTTTATAGCTTCGTTCATTTAGTTGGTTAGTTGAAAGAGGGAGGTTGTGGACGAATCAAGCCATTCGGCCGATGGCCGGCTAAAAGTTCATTTTAAATCGATATAATTTGCAAAAAATTAAACTAAGAAAGAAAGAGGCCGAGTTGTCCGAGTATCAAAAACTTGAGAAACAAGCGAAGAATGATAATGCGGAAAATTGGAGCGCATATTTTTAATGGTATGTTGGAGAGAAGATAACTACTAATTCTAGTCAGAATATATATTAAAAAAAGCCACATAGAATGAACCCCACCTGATACAATGAAGCTGCATAAATATGGATTGTGTAAGAGAGCAAGTATTCTTCTTCTTCTTTATTGGCGTTGGCACGGCTTACGTGATTATAGCAGAATCAATTATAACGCGCCATACCTCTGTTCTTTTCGCTGTCTAACGCCAGTTGGAAATACCAAGTGAAGCCAGGTCACTTTTCACCTGATCCTTCCAACGGGAGGGTTCCTCTCTCTCTGATTCCACCAACGGGTACTGCATCGAATACTTTCAAAGATGGATTTTATCCATTCGGACGACATGACCTAGCCAGCGTAGCCGCAGTCTCTTCATTCGATGAACTATGTCAATATCGTCGTATAGCTCCTACAGTTCATTGTTTCATCTTCAGCGGTTTTCACCAATGTGCGAAGAACCATAAATCGTTCGCAAAACTTTTCTCTCGAAGGCTCTCAAGGCCGATCCTACTCAGTCCAAAGTAGCACTTGTAGGCAAGAGTGATTAAGCTTTGGATTTCTATGCTGGTATTATTATTGATTTTCTAAATAGACGAAATTATCTACGACCTCGAAGTTATGACTGTCAACAGCGACGTGGGAGCAGAGCCGCGAGTGCGATGATTGTTTGTTTGCTGACAGGAGATATTTTGTCTTGTCCTCGTTCACTACCAGATCAATTCCCTTCGCTTCTTTATGAAGTCTGAAGAAAGGGGAACTCACGGCGCGGTTTTTGAGGCTTTTACCTTCCATATTCAGCTCTGCAGCTCGTATAATTTTCTCCAGCAATAAGTTAAAAAAGTCACACGATAAGGAACCACCACCTGAAACCTTGTTGTCGTATTGAATGACCCGGAGAAGTCCTTCCCAATCCTGGCGGAGCTTTTAGTGTTGCTTAACGTCTAATTTTGCAGGGATACCAAATTCAGACATAGTGGCGTAGCTCCTTTTTGAGCTGTCAAAGGCGGTTTTAAAATCGACGGAGAAGTGGTGGGTGTCGATTCTCTTTTCACTGGTCTTTTCCAAGATTTGGCGCGTGGTGACATCCACCACGTCAGGTCTAAAGCCACACTGATAAGGTCCAATCAGTTTGTTGACGTTTGCCTTCAGTATTTCTCACAATATGCTCGACAGGATATTAATGAGGCTTATTCCCAGATAATTGGCGCAGACTGTTTGGTCCCCTTTTTATGGATTGGGCAGAGCACACTTCAATTCCAATCGTCGGACATGCTTTCATCCAACCATATTTTGAAAAGAAGCTGATGCATGTACCTGAGCAGTTCTTCACCGCCGTGTTTGAATAGCTCGGCAGGTAATCCACCGGCCCCCTCCGCTTTGTTGTTCTTTAGGCGTGCGATTACTATTCGGGCTTCTTCATAAACGGGTAACGGAGTTTCGGGCTTATCATCTCCGCGTGTTTAATTTTGACTGTCATTCAGAAGGCTAGAGAAATGTTCCCTCCACAAATACAGTATGCTCCGGGCATCCGACCCTAGCTCACCTCTCCGGGTCCTACAAGAGTTGGCTCCGGTCTTGAAACCTTTCTTAGGTCGCCGTGGAATTTTGGAGCATTACCCGTGCAATGCGCCTTGCTTCCCTCCCACCTCGCACGTGCTGTGGTCGATCGTAAGGTTGCGAGGTAGGCAGTCTCTCCACCGCGACACGACAGTCCTCATCATACCAGCTTTTTTTGTGACCTTTGTGAAATCTAATAACTTCGTTTGCAGAGGACGAGTAAGTAGGAAAATAAGTAGTTTTCTTCTTCTAAGACGGTCTGGTGTTAAAAGGTCTATCTTGACAAATGGAAAAATAGATTTTTATTTTGAAAGGCACATGTAAATTTGCCGATGCTATTATAGATAACTCAATAATTGCACCGTAATTTGGAGCCACATGTTTTTAACTTTTTCTTCTTGGTCTTGTAGATGGGTTCAGCATTGAAGATTTGTGTCCATTGGACAAATCTGCAAAGAAAGTCCAGTCAAAAGCTAAACACCTGCTTCGGGGCTCTACTTTTGGATCTCCGGAGTCAAAAATTGCAACAATGCATTATATTTCCAGCCAGACTACCGAAATTACAACGCAAACGGATACAGTTATAACAGAAGAAGTAGAAAATAATGCGCTTCATATGGAAAATACTTCGAATACTAATACGAAAGACGATGATTCCTCCGAAAGTTGTATGTGGCCAAACGCTTTACAGGTAATGTTTCATTCAAAACTTTGGTTACATAAATTATATGCTACAATACATACATATGTTATATAATTGGGACTTTGCTGCCGCTAAAGCGATTTATGTCCTAGCTCTTCCGCCAAATTGTAGTAGGAGTTAGTTTATACTAAACCGCCTCAAAGCGGCAGATAAATTTTAGTGGGGAGCTTGTATTTTATGTCAGAAATACACTCAGAGGGCTTGACATTCTCTGCCTAGGGGCGACCGCCATTGGAAAATTGGGAGAATTTGAATGTTGGTAAAACCAGGACTCCAACCTTGGCAATCCGAGTGGCAGTAAAAAATACTAACCACTCGGGTTTATAATATTTGCCGTCGATTTGTTGGATTTTGATCCAACTCCTTATATATTATATTAAATTCATCAAATTACTGTTGTTGTTTGGAATGAGTCCTGACTAGAAAAGGTTTTTTATTTATTTTATTTTTTTTTGATTTTTCGTTAAATAGGTTTTATGTACGCACCCTTGTGGTTTCCACGAGAGTGATTGTATGTTATCTAAACGATATTGCGGCTGAAAATTTGTATATAATTTTACTGGGCACATTTAATAGATCCTTGTCTCGTCATATCTGGATGAATAGTATATTTCGGAAGCCCCCAAACTGATTCTTAGCTGTTTCTATCTATCCAAGCTGCGGCTACATCAATCGATTTTTCGCGCTTTGTCCACTTGATAGTACAAAGTTTGATTCCCAACCTTCAAATAACTTTTTGAAGGCCTTTCTTTCGGGGACTAGAAAAATATTTAATTCGCTCGATATCGCTAGTTTTTTATGAATAATAATAATAATAAAATACAAATAAAAACGTTAAATATAACTTTAATGTAATTTCTAATAATTTATTTTAAACTTTCATCTTGCAGTATTCGTTGTTGCAGACAGTCGTTGAAGCATGCCAAAAGAAGAAACACTGTAAATTCAACGGAGCACCCCATTTCTATAGACTGAGTGCAGGCGGCGACGCTAAAAATCAAAGTAGTACCATTAGTACCGTAAATGTGGACCCTTGTCACAAACGCCGCAAAATCGTTGAAGTTGCTTATAAATGTCGCCCATGTAAGTTTGTTTTAGGCGTATTTTGTATGTAATTACATTGTCCATGTGTCTTATAACGCAATCACTAGATTTAGTTGAAAATGTGCAATAAGTTTTATATGCAAAGTGAGCTCTGTTGGTGGTACAGAAAAAATGGGCACATTGAAAACTGTTACAAATCTGTTACTATCAGTCTAAATTCGTATGATAACTTATTAACCCGGTAGTGGGTATGCAAATGCTGAATAACTTTCACATTTACCAACCGAACGATTGCATCAAATATGTTTTGGAAACGTTAATTCAGTACAATTTTTGATATGGTTCGCTTCACACCGCACCAACACGTTACACCAAATAGTGATACTTAACATTGAAACCAATTGTTGAGGCGGGAATTAAATCACTTTACTTTCACTTGGTTTAAGTATAACTCACTCCACAATCTGTAGAGCGTTTATTTATATAAATTTGTAATGTGAAAATTTACATGCATGCATATGTGTACATAAGTATGTTTACATTAGAAGATTACCCACGAATAGATAATCTTATCTTATGTTTTAATTTTTATTGCTTTACATATTCATGATAAGAACATCAGTATACATAGATGCTTATGTTGTTGTAAAGGCATCAAGTATCAATATTCATATCATGAGTATGTGTATATGGACATCTGTTTGTACTTTAATTTTTATTGCCTGGCCTATAAATGTCATACAGCATATGAATTTATGGCCATACATTTTAATTGCTGGCTTATCGTTTCGGAAAACTAAACACCAATCGTTCCTGACAAATCAACCCCCGGAATTTTTGTGGGGTTATCTAAAAAGCAAGGCTTATGTCAACCAGCCTCAAACTATTGATGAGCGCAAGGCAAGCACTCCAGCTGAAATCGACGCTATAACACCCGATTTGCTCGGAAAGGTAATAGCAAACGCAGAAAAAAGGAGTCATTTTGTAATTGCTAATTAAGGTAGCCACTTGATTGATATTGTCTTCAAAAAATTTTAAGGAACCGAACTGAATAAAAATACATCATTCATAGAAATCGGTTGTTTTTTTCTCAAAGTTATTCAATGTTTACATGCCGACATAAAAGTAGGAGTACCCTGCATTATGTTTTACTATTTGTATATTCATCATCGAATGAAATTTTTCACGAAATAATTCACGTCCAAAAATATTAACTAAGAAAGCCTTTCTAATACAAATATAGTAGGTTTCCTACAGTAGCGAAAACAGTTCTTATTTACTTAATACAAATGGTGCAAGCTTTTCTTGAAGCTTACTTTTTAACTGATTTACATACACGATGTATATGGACGTAGTCGGCTCATTTTAAATATTTTTTATGATATTTAATGAATCATATGTAATAAATCTCGTGCGTAATTCCTATTTTTTTATCACCTGCATATACAGATGAATTTCGGAGTAAAGTTGCTTGTCACAATGATGTGGCTCAATTGGAATGCAATCCGTATTCTCGTATAGCGGTCTACAGCGCAAGTTTTGGACGTACGGAGTATGAAAGCATTCAATGTCCTCAACCGCAAGGTGTCCGGGAAGAAAGTGAGTATTTATTTTCGAAAAATTTTTTATAAATCTGCACAAAAAAACTTTATTATAACATGTATTGTAAGCGATTAATTAAATCTTTTACATTATAATATTATCATAATTTCTTAACGTTCAATGGCTTTGAATAAATACGAAAGGTTATAATAAGAATTGGACCCCATTTTTAGTGCCATTGAATCATAGTATTTAATTAACTAGTATCTACGGCACTGCTGCTATTTTGGTGTTTTTCTTGTAGTTTTAAAATGTTTCCAAGCAAGCCTTCAACTCATCAAATAACTTAATATTCAAGCCCTTTTTTATTCACATCATATTTTTTTGATTTTCGGTTTCGCACAGTTGATGGGTAGTTGATTTTATTTTATGTCAGAAAATCAGATGGTTGAAAGCGTTTGGGAAAAAACCTGTTTAAAAATGCTATGAATTCGAGCAGATGATACCGCGTTGGGCTAAAGCGGTCGTCATGATATGCATTTGGTATGCTTTTTTAACACATGACTCAAAGTCTCGGACTTAACGAAGAAATCGTGTTTTTTTATTTCAAATTGGCTTTATTTAATTACGTTAGCCAAACATTATTTATAATCACCTTCTTGCTCTCGAACAACAGTGAGCACACAGGGCACCTACTTGGAACAAAGCTTTTTCATAGTCAATTTATCATGCAATATGAATCCAATACGTTTTTCTCATATCCTTACAATATCATGATATTTTCAAATTTTGAGGTATTTTGTGAAGATTATCACATAGTCTGCAAGTCAGTTTACAGTGCTTTGATAGAGGTAAAAACGTTTTTATTTTCACCACTTTATTCAACCTTCATTCTCACTAAGCCGGTATGGAGTTTATGCCTAATAAATTAAGTTATATATATATATATGTATATACAGCTGTGGACAACTAATTAGAAACGCTCTCTTTTTGTAAGTGCTTGTTGGGCATAATAGTAAAATATGCCAATTTCCTTTATATTTTCTTAAAAACGACACTTGTATTGTTTTTGTTACTCTGTTTAATACTCAATCCCCCAGATTTGTCTCCCATCCTGGTGTAACGAAAATAAAGTACGACACTTAATTAGAAGCGATTGTTCAATAGTAATATTTTCATAACGTTGTATTGGTTTAGTGATAATATTACTAATTTTTGGTAAGTATTTATTTATTATTTAAAATCAATTAGAATGTGTATCTCAAGATTTATAATGGCTCACCTCCGTAGAGCTGTAAAGTCATACAGTCAAATTGCGGACCAAGTCAAATATTGAAGAGAATAATTGCACGGCGTTTGGCCGTATTTGGACTTCATGCAAGAAAACTACGTGTAGACTTCGTCCATTCTCATAGGTCTTGGACCCAAAACCAGTGGAGGTATACGATTTGGAACTATGAAATGAAAAATAATCGCATTGGTTCTGGTGGTTGGAGGTATGTTCGACGGCCCATGAACCAAGAATTTAATCCTCGTCATGACCACCATCCAGCCCTGACGTGAACTATCTGGGGGGACGTTAAAAATTCATTTGTGTTAAAAATATCCTAATAATGTCCTTTTGAGGATGTAAGAAGGGTATGGCAGTGGCGCGCTGTCGGTGTTAGGCAATGTTTAAGCAGAAGAGTTATGCAACCAAATAATAACTAAAAGTAAACATATTATCTTAAAATCATAATTTTTTTCAGTTAAAATGCTTTCGTTTCTAATTAGGTGTCACACTCGATTCATGAATTTTGAATAAATTGATTAGAATATGGTTATGAGTTTTGAATATGTTTAAATAAAATTTGAAAACAAATTAGGAAAATGAGTGCTTTAATGAGTAAAAATATCATTCTATTTAAAATAAGTATCGTTTCTAATAAGCTGTCAACAGTTGTATATATAAAGTAGAAGTGCTGTATTAACAAGGATCCTAAATTGTTTTATTAATCTTCCAGCTTGTCAAGCATCTTACGCCACCGAAACAGTAATGCAGATTTGCCATGGACGGCGTCGTTGCAATTTAGCTGCAGATGCGAACACGTTCGGGTCTCCATGTCAGCCGAATTCACGAATGTATTTGAAGGTGGTTTATACATGTGGTATGTGTCAATTATTTCCAAATTACTTAACCTCAGTTATGATTTGATGTTTACAACCAAGCCTTCAACTGTTAAAACAACCTAATAATCAAGCCTTTTTGCATTTGCATCATATATTTTGATTTCGGTTTCAAATATAACTTTTTAACTTTTATTTTTCTTATTGTAACAAAACAATCATATATATATGATATTATAATATCAAGTTAATTTGTTTAAGGGGACCCACCCCTGATTTTGGATCAAAAATTCGATTTTTTTACGCGAAAAATGAAAGCCATATACAATACATATTTGTAGAGTATGTGTTTAAAGGGATTTTGCGATGCGATGAATATTTTTCAAATGGCAGCTTGTCGAACACACCTGTCTCAAGCACGCAGCGAACTTTCAAAAAACTTTTAACGCATTTTTCTAAAAACCATGTTTTCCGATCTAACTTCATTCCCCGGGATTGATCTATCCGTCCGATTTCTTTTAATGAAAAATGTTTACCGACACAGTTACAAATTGTATATATATAGATATATATATATATATATATATATATATATATATATATATATATCACACTTATTCCAGCGTTGTTTTCAATCTTCGTAACACTTCTGAAACACGTTATTTGCTATTGGCTCCTCTTTCGATTTTTCTTTCATCTCCTCAATCATAGCAAAACGCTTTCCTTTTATCGGTGTCTTCAGTTTTGGGATGAGGAAAAGGTCAGCGGGGGCCAAATCTGGTGAATAAGGTGGTTTAGGCATGATAACGGTTTTGTTTTTGGTCAAAAACACACGCACAAGAATCGATGTGTGCCCTGGTGCGTTATCACGGTGCCAAATCCATGATTATTTTTTCCACAATTCTGTGAGTTTCTGACGAATTGCTTCGTGCAAACGTCGTATAACTTCTAGGTGGCAAGAATTCATGATGAATCACGCCATTCCAGGCGAAGAAATCAGTGAGCAAAACCTTCAATTGAACTTGTGTTCTGCTCATAGTAGATTCGCCAAACCCCACAGTCAACATTTCAAATGTCCTTGTGCAATTAATTTCAATTTAAAAAAAAACTCAATTCAGTTTCTTTAATCCATTTTTTATTTTTGAAAAGTAAAAAATCGAAGAGCACACCAAAACACGACTAACCATTTTATCTGTCAAAAACAAGCTGACAATGCAAAATGGCTGATGTTGCCAACATAATATATGCCATGTGTACCGACATAACCCAAAAAGCGAAAATCGAACGTACGTAACTCACGAAATTTGAAAATATTTTCTGATCACACCTCGTAATATCTGGATACAATGTGTAAATGATTCCAAAGAAATGCTATAGAGATTTATATTAATAATCAATAGTTTTCGAGGAAAACTCAAATTCAAAAAACTCCTTTTGATCTGGCAGAGTTCAAAAGAGCTATAAAAAGCGCAATTTTGAAGCGCTCTCATACCGGAAAAGTTTCACCATATTTTATCACCGGTACTAGTCGCTAATGAAATTTGTATTGACCCGAAGTCGTCATTTCTGATAATTTCAGCCAATCGAAGCCATGTAATATCTAATGGCAGTACGTACACAGAGATATTTACTATTTTATGCTGTTTAACTGAACTTTTACAAATTTCACCCATATTTATTGATTGTGGTTGTTTCCATAAGCTCATCATACCGATTTCAAGAAAGAGTTTTTCGTCCAAATTAGCATTTGAATCTATTTTATATATTTCTATAGTTCGTAAACAAAGACTAACACATGCATTAACAAAAACCATACACTACAGTTCCAAAGCAGGTTTTAAAGGATCGATACGAGTCTGAAGTAGAGGGAGACGAGACTGAAGAATTCGACCTCGGTAACGAGATCTACGACGACGAGCTAAATTATAAGGAGTCGGAAGCTATACCTAAAGTGTACAGCAACAGTACCGTCACTGCCGCGAGGTCAAATGGTACGAGTTTCGCCACACCCGGATCTTTGAACGCAAATAACGGCAACATCTCATTTCATCTTGAAGTTCCCGATAGTGGCAGTATCAATCCCGTCATGACACACAGTGCCGATTTGAGCTTAGAAGGTACGAAGTTTTTGCATTTTTTTAAGATTCATATCTTGTGCATACATATATACTCGTACTCGTTTACAACAAATTTAATGCTCTCAATGTATTTCTAATAGTTATGTAAAATAATTATGATTTATAAATTTGTTCCCTCCTTAACGAAATATAGATAACCAAGAACGACTATATTTATACCTGCTGATAGCTGGCTTAATAGGCGTTATTGTTTGTATAATTATTGTTACGGTTCACGTTTGGATACAGAAACGTCATACTATAAGCTCTGAAACACAAATGTCTACTATAGAAGGTTCTGCGAATATCTGTGAGGACACAACAATTCCAAATGGATTTAATGACACCATATCAGAGATCGATGCTGAAATCGATATACCAGCCACAATTTCAGTCCCCAGTGTATCTAAAAACGAGGTAAGTTTGAAAATAATGTCACATTTTCATATTCATACTTCTTTAGCTGCAACGTCGCTGAATATACGAGGTGTGCTCAAAAAGTATCGCGAATTTTGAATTTTCTCGGGGTACGTATAATCGAATTTCGATTTTTTTGTGGCGTTATGTTGGTACTCATGTCTGTCACTTATGCCGACAAGCTCGGCCATTTTAATGTTCACTTAATTGTTGACAGCTGCTTTGCTTGCACGTATTTTTGATGGTCTTCGATTTTTACTTTTTCAAAAAAATTGATCAAAGAACCCGTATCAAATTTTTTGTGAAAAACGAAATTAAGTGCGCGGATGCATTCCAAATGCTGACTGTGGCATACGGAGAAGCTACCTTGAACCGAAGCAACGTTTATCGGTGGTACAAATTGTTCTCAGAAGGCCGAGAAGATGTGAACGATGGAGAGCGTGCCGTACGACCGAGCACTTCAACAACAGACGAAAAAATTAATTGCAGGGGCGTGGTGCATCATGAGTTCTTGCCACAGGGTAGAACGGTCAATAAGAAATATTACCTGCAAGTTATGCGCAATTTGCGCTAAGCAATACGCCAGAAATACCCGGATTTGTGGAAGAATAAAAATTGGCTTTTGCACCACGATTACGCCCTTGTTCACAAATCGTTGCTTGTGCGCGACTTTTTGGCTAAAAACAACACACTAAGGAAGCCGCAGCCATCGAATTCCCCAGATCTGGCCCCCTGTGTCTTTTTCTTATTCCCTAAACTGAAGAGGCCCATGAAAGGACGACGTTACGCTACGATTGACGAGATAAAGACGGCATCGAAGGAGTAGCTGAACAAGATAAAAAAATGATTTTTTGAAGTGCTTCGAAGATTGGAAAAACCGTTGGCGCAAGTGTATAATATGTCATGGGGATTACTTTGAAGGGGGCAAAATATATATTCATGAATAAATAAATAAATTTTGAAAAAACACAAAATTTGCGATATTTTTTGAACACACCTCGTAGAGCGAATACAATAAATATGTATTTATCAGATGATATATAGGACGGAAAAGGCTAAAAACTCCTAAGAAACGACACACAATGACTTTTTTTTAGATAATCTAAATATTTATAAAAGTGCAGATCATTTTGAAACACCTTTCGAAGCGCTAAGCGAATACGTAAATAAGAATTTCATTCAGATGGTTTTTGATTCTATCTCCCATTACTTTAAATAGTTGTTTATGTCATACATATCATACTATTACTTCACAATATAACATCATCTATTTTACAGAATTATATTACGTATGGACCAAATAACGGCTTATACGCTGGCCTGGGCTCATCTAACCGGACACAAAATGTATCAACTCTTGTGTTACAAGGAGGAGCAACTATACCTCCAGCTGCTATTGTTGATGCAAGACAATCTCCAGATATCATAGGTATTTCATCGAAATCCCATGTACCGGTTGCAACAAGCAACACAATAAGTTATCAGACTGGGGTTGGCGGAGTACTAGCACCAACAATTGTGATTGGTGGAACTAGCAGCACTTCGTTAGCTTGTGGTAAGTAAATTGTTAAAAGAATATTTATACGAATGAAAAATGGTTCTTACTCAGTACGTCCTATACGTATCAAAGCAAAGCATGCATTCGGCATTACTTTGAGTATCGAATAAAACTTCATTCACATTTCTAAAAGAAATACCAGTAAATATTGTTTCTAAATGTATTCGCCCCTTGGAAGGGCATCTCAACCTCTTCGAGTGCATTTCTGAAATAAAATAAAAAGCTCCTCATAAAAATCGATCATACGTTCCAAGGCGAATTAAGAAAACACGTAAGTGCATCATTTGCTACGTCCTGGATAATACATTTTTATTTCACGTCAGATATAACAGACACAGGAATTGACATTTCCTGCTATCTATGTCAAACATCAAGCAAAGCCAAAAAATTAATTTTTCTGAAAAATTAAGTCCCATGATGAATGAGTAAGAGCTTAAACAAAGATTAAAAAAATCGATTTTTTCTATTAAATCGGTTCCGGGACCACTTCCCGATCAGTGGTTTAGGTTGTGTATTGATCAACCACTCATTCAGGGCTTGTTCCTCTATACAGATTCGGTTGGCTATAGAGAACCAAATGGCGTAGCGAGGTAGAGCGTCAAATAGGCTTAGCCTGAGCCTATGACTTTAATCATTTTTTAATTTGCTAGTATATACTAAATCTAATTTTATAAGGTTTTCGAATGGATAAAATTATTTGATAATGTTATCCGGGCGTGAGGAGTACTTGAACGTGAGCGACTGCACTAAAGACCCTGGCTCAATGCCGGTTGGCTTTACTTGCTTTGCTGTGTGATCTGTCACGACAGATAAGAACATACTCGAACATCTGAAAAGAAAGAGCTTTACTTTAAGAAGTTAAAAAGCACTGCAAAATCAAATATGTCTATGTATTACCATAATATAATACATTACATTACAGCTAAACATACAAATTCAATAATAAATTATCATCATACCTCGCTACCATCAGAGAAAAGCTAGCCATTTAAATAATTCCGAATCATTAGTTAAGTTATTTTTTTAATTGCGGTTGCCCCTCGTCAGCGAATATCAAGCCCTTCGAGTGTATTTCTGACACGAAAATTAGGCTCCTCATATGAAACCCCGCAGCCGTTCTGAGGCGACTTAGTATAAACTTTAGGTCCCTCCAATTGTAGGTAAAAAATCAAGACTAATTTTACCATGTCTCAAAAATCGTTAGAAAATCGATAATTCAAAATCGCTAGCGGGTCCTTTAATTCAACAAATCACAACCAGAAAGTATAGCTGTCTTTATACCTTTCATGACCAAATAAAATTTATGGTTGAACGGAAGGAGCTAAATGATGATGTTTTCCAATTTCGGTGTCAATGTTTATTTATGTATATGTAAGTATGTAGAATACACCTTGATGGGTTTTTGACCAAAAACTTCATATCTGAAAAAATTTTCAAGCTTCCATAGGAGAGACAAATCAGTATATAAAGCAAGAAAAATCAATCGATTCGGTTGAAACATTTTATCGTTAAAGCTGTTATCAAATAAAATTTTATTTCATTTCGCCAATGATAAATCGTTATTAGATAATGCTAGTAGTTAAAATTGAAGTTGCTGTTAATATTAAAGTAAGTAGCCATTTTAAAATGAATGCTAATAGCGGCTTCCACATTAATAATCTCATTTCGCTTCGATGCCATGACGCATGAAATGGAACAAAATATTTTCGTTAAGTTTATTGTTCATTTTAAAAAAACAAAATGGCATCGTTTCGTTAGTTTAGCATCTCTGGTATAAAATATTTGGCACTATTTTGGGAGTATGGAACGCGATCGATTATTACTCTAGCAAATGCTAGGCACTTTTTCAAAATTTTTTATTAGGTGGGCAGTTTTTAATTTTTGCTGCCAGACTTGAAAGTTCCAGCGATAATTCAAAATACCAGTGAGTAAAATAAAAAACAAAAGTCTGAAAATTATATTTAAAGGAGAAAGATGACAACTCATCAATGCCGTTTTACAATATAATGGAAAGAACCAGAGGTTATTAATAATGTTTATGTAAATTAGAAATATATAATACATACATACATATACATATGTAGGTTGTGAAATATCTGATCAACTAATTTCCGGTCGCCCGAAATTCGTTAATATTTTATAATTTTTTTAACACGTCTTGTAACCAGAAATGTGTTTCTTATAAAAAATTTATGGATTATAATGAAATAATATGTAGATATATGATTGGATAAATATAATTATGTTTAAATTATTGAATATTATTGGTTATTCATATATATGTATTATATATTTACCATAATTTATACTTTTCAGGCGCTGGTGTTCCAATGTCATCACTGGCTCAATATGCAACTGCACCAACAATTCGTGCGAGTTACATCATCAATCCAGAGGGGACGCTAAAGCGGCCTCCAAACCTCCAAACACCGCCAATGACAAGTTCCATGCCCAATAGCCAGTATTCTGCCATGTCCACATTACGTCGTATGAAGAACACAACCAATCCTCCTTTGTTACAACAACAGCTGTCTTATGATGGAACTGCTCCACGCACTTTGTCTACGGGAGTCCCAGTGAATTCTCAGTTTTATTATGGATGACAAAATATGGAGAATGAAGTGGAAATGAATAATTTATTAGGCGATGCCAATAAGCACAGAACGGATGCTATTACCACACTCACTGCCCAACCCCCACAAAATGAATCAAATTCGCAGCAACAAAATTTGAATGAGGGAACGAATGGAAAAGACAATCCTAGCGCCCATTACGAGGACAAAACTTCCATAAAGGATCAAGTGTCAGTGCAAACGTTGCAACAGTTAGAAGGGGTGCAGGTAGTAACTAATAACCCCGAGTCAGCGAGGTCGTTTTGTTTTTAAAGTGACCACATACCAAGTTGGAACTGATAGCAGAGACCGATGCAGTAATCGTTAATTTCACTTGGGTGTGTAAATGTGTTGTACGTAAGCTTGTGTAATACACACATATGGAAATGTTAAATTCTTGTATAGTTAATTAATGGATAATATAATAAATGCAAGTGTGTATGTAAATATATACATAAGTATGTATAATATATTTATAATAGCCTAATGTAATGAAATATATTAGATTAGGAAAATATCTTTATAATAATACCCGCATCTAGTTTTGTATATATTGACACACAAACATTCGTTTGTATAATTAATATTTAATTTAATGCAAAGATTTCGAAAATAATATCTTTCTAACGATGTTTCAAACTTCTTGTAATTTGACAAGCTCATGGAAATCCTTAACAGATCAACCAGAGAATTTATAACTACTACCATTATAAGTTCTCTGCTTACGTCTTTTAAGTTGTGATTGTGTCTTTGTCGCTGTCAGCGATTTTCTATATTAAAAGGTCCTAGGTTTCAAGTGTTGTCGTAGAGTGAAAATAAAGAAAATATGTTTGTTTTTAGAAAATATGTCGGGTTGTTTTAACCATATCAGTAAACATAGAACGAAATAGCGTAACCATTCGGAACAATTTTGATAGAAAATTGTGATTATTAAATTATTGTGGCAGAGGACATCTCAATATTATGGGAAAGGCTAAACACACCCATTTATGTATTATCTAAGATCGAAGTAAATAGCATAAAATATGGCAAGGTGGGTAGCAGTGCGTGCTACTATCTGAAAATCAAGGGCTCGACCCAAACCAAAGTATTTTCGAATCGACACTCAAAGGGAAATGCCGAGTGTACGAAATGTATTTTAGCCAAGAAAAAGTTTCTTCTCCCAAAATTCAACCACCTGCTGAAAGGCGGGAAAACTATGAGCAGGTAGCAGTTTTGAAAGGCCAAAAAGATGTCACATCACAGTAAAAGATATGGTTTGCATCCCTGCCCGATTTCTAATGACCGGAAAATTCTTTTCATAGCTAATGATGTATGTTTCTACTATGCATATGAGTATTAGTAGATACAATGAGAATAATATATGCAATTAAGATTAGGCAATGAAACGACAGAAGCTATATGTGCCCATGATTTTGAAAGTGGTATAAGTCATATTTTATTTTGTTTCGAGATATTTAGAGTTTTATATTTTAAAGGATTAACAAATATTCTTGCATTATGGATTATGATTTTTCGACATTAAAGTAGTCCCAACAAACAAGTACTTATTATGATTGTGAAATTTATTGCCATTTTAAAAAGAAAATGTGGTTTTGAAAGGTTTAAATGACTTGGACCACTTTCAAAATTAACTTCATGACTTTATAAATGACTTATACCAAAAATGAAACAATTTTATTAGTAATTAACATTTTATTCAAACTCATTTCATTGTGACAACGTAAATTATTCATTAGTATTTAGAGAAATAAAGTGTTTGTGAAAAACTGGTGGAATATAGGATAGTAGATCCATCATATCTTTACGTTTTTCTTTTGTTATTGGTCTAATGGTTGTGTATAATGGAAGTAAATCAAAATTTCCGTATAATCTAGGTCTTCCTTTTTTAGGTGAGAGGTCTAATACTTTGAATTCGGAGTTGTCATCCAAGGAAGTTTTATAAAACATCTTATATGGGGCATTTTTTAGAAATCTGATCCATTGTATTTTTAACCAAGGCACAGCTTCCCCATTGATGTTTCACTTTCTATTATTCGTTGATTCTTTTAGTTGTTTTGTAGAAATAAAATCTTTTTGATCCATTTGTACTTATACTTACATATAGATGAAACTTAAGACTCCATTTTCTCATATATCCTCTGTGATTTCTGGGGCGTTTTTGTTTTATTAATTGTTTTGTAATCAAACCACACAGAAACAGATTCTGTTTTCGAAATTTGCTAATTTCCAAAAATAATCAAAATTATCTTTCCTGTCTTCGTATCCGATTCCATTTAAACACTTTTTGGAACAAAGACAATCTTTATTTTCGAAAAGTTTAGCACTCACGTGCTTAGAGTTTTTTTGTTTCATATTCCTCTCCACTATTTCTCTTAATTTTTCTTATATTTCGTGCATAATTCTGTGGATTGCGTGTCCTCTTTCTTGATTTCATTTTGCGCTCTTCCATTTGTATGGGTTCTCCAGCTAATTCATCAGAAGACGATATCATTCTTATTCGTTTCCATTTCTTGGGAGCATTATTTCCATTTATTCGCCGTAAAATGTCTACAATTAACTTTAAATAGTAGGTTTTTACCTTAAAAATTTTTACTTCATCCTACCTAAACCACTATCTGAAGGCATAATAAAATTTGTGAACACACTGACTTATACCACTATCAAAACCAACAATATCTGTATTTCAGTTAACAACTAAAAAAATAAACGCATTTCAATGACTAATTTGAATGGCATGCTGCTACTTTCTTCAGATTATATTATTTTATTAAGATTTGACAAGTAAAAGCTGATGAAGTAGAATTTAAAAATTTTTGACTTATACCACTTTCAAAATCATGGGCACATAAACACAATTCGTAATCCGTTTGCTCTTATATAATATAACCCAAAGCCTTTGAGAGCAAGCTGAAACAAATTTTGCAAAGTGACAAACTATTTTTTTTATGTTTTCCCATGTCGGAAAGCACCTAAACAATTGTAAAAGCGATAACGATATGTCAAACTACGAGTTTGTTGTGATGATTCCGAAGAAAATGTTCAAATATCGTAAATTTCTTATTAATATTAAATACCGACCGTCATTTGAGGCGAAATGAAAAAATATGGATATACCGAAATACAGAAAATTGCCGAAAAGTCAAATAAAACTTTATTTAAGAATTAAACAGACGTTCATGTCGCTGCGAGTTTCCCTTTTTAGTCGAATATCGCTCATAAATTATACACGTATGACGGTGTATTTCGTGCAGTATGTAAAATTATCCGCATTACTACGCCTGCTGATAAAAACAAGAAAAATTGTAATATTTTTATTATAATTCAAAACAACTGCTTCACGTTCATCATCAAAAGAAAAGTCACAAAAATGGCTGTTTTTTAATTTTATTGTTTCGATTCAGACCATAGAATGCATTTATTTTTTGGGAGCTGATTCAGCTCAATAAAATTAAAAAATTTAAACAATCCAAAAAGCAAAAAAAAAAAAAAAAATAACAAAATAATTAATACACACAGATAATTTGTAAAGATATTTGAAAATGTTTGAGCTATTAATATTTTGTGGGATATCTTAACAACAGATCAGCTCTTCGGCATAGGCTCTCCCATTCCATTTCAATTGCAAAGCTTTTTTTCAAATCATATCAAAAAATCAAAAAACTAAGGTGGTAACTCGTGCGAATTTTGCAAAATATACATTTCAACAGTTGTTTTCTTAAGAAAGTAAGTGATTTTAATTGCACATGGCTTATTACGCTGGTGAAATGTCTGCTTATTCGATAGCAGGACACAGGATGTGGGGATGTATGTCACCTGAAGCAAGAAGTCACTCTGGAAAATAATACAAATGCATACTGTTCCCATATTGCTAACTTCTCTTTTTCGGTTATAAAGTCCTTTAAAATTACTTTGTTATTTTCCACCAGCCGATCGGGATAATTAGATTTCTACAGCAATTTTTTTTCTTAAGTAATTATATACCACTGTTTACTTTACAATGAAGTTAAGAATTGCATATGGGCCTTTACACGGGATGCATTTGGCCTACTGTAAATAAACAAATTTGTTATCCAAATTCAAAATTTGTTGAGATCTTCTTACCTGTTTAGTTTTTTTTTTCTATCGAAATAAATCATTTTTTGCTATAAAAAAGGAAAATAATTTCTACGAAAAGAAAAAACGACTGGCGAGTTGTTATTAACTAAGATCTCGTCAGCAGTGTCTATATAAGTAAAAAACAGAAAAAGAGAAGATGCGGTGAGATCTGTCTGAATGGATCAGTGAAATTTGTAGTTAAATATTATAGATATGATGAAATTAATTTCCTTTACTTCCTTAGGATTTCAAATGAATATGCATTGTATATACATACTTATGCTTTATTGCTTATATCTATATAACAGTTTCAATTAAACAATTTTTAAGGGTTTTTGTATTAGTTAAAAGTAGTTAAATTTTTTTTTTATTCAGCTTTTGTTCTATTAATATAACTTTAGTACAAATTGGACCAAAGTACTTCGCATGAACCCAACAGACTACACCTTACTTAGAATGATCTAGCAAAATTACTAAGCAACTGCAGTTTTGTAGCCATATCCCTCTCTGAGAACCACTTTGAGCTCATTAAAATATTTTTCACATACTGAAATACATAAAAAAACGTCTCATATTGTATGCTAATGGTTGTGATAAACATATTTAGTGTGTTAAAGGTTATAGATATTAAATGGCTTCTACTATCAAATATAAATACGAACAGTTGTACATGTCCAATTGTATGAGTGCTAACCATTCAACATAAATAAGAATAATGCTACATACCAACGGTTTTCGAAATAAGTCGTGGTACCTAAACATCTTCTAGAGTTGTGAGATGATGAATCCTCACAGACTTTAAAGCGAAAATGCAGGAATAGAGTTGCTATTGACTCCATTGCTCATCTCCAGAAACTCTTATCTATTCCTTAATATATATGCACATATATATAATTGGCGATTTCTTGCCGC